AGGCAATTGGAGACTTCTGAGAATCCCAGAGGGGGGCTATTTGCATCATTAAACACTTAACTAGGCTGCCTGAAAATGGAGCTAGCTGCTTTTGAAAATCTCTTTAATACTTCATTGTCAAAATTCAGCATCATTAACCGGGAAGATTCAATCTTATATCACTGCTTTTCTCTCATTCGTTTCCTTTGCTCCCCTACTTCTTTCCCTGCTTCAGCTTGTGTTTTTGTCTCTTATACAACCATCCTCTGTCAACCTATATGCACTTTCTTTCAGCAAACAGCAATGTTCCCCTTGGGTTTCGTACCCACCCTGCTCTTTGCTCTTTCCCACCTTCCTACCATAAAACAATGAGCAACAAGAATAAGGGAGAACAGGTCACTTCACGTGTCTCAGAGCTATTGTTTTCGGGACAATAAGTCATGACAGACTCAGGGGTGCAGCACTGCAAGAACTGAATAGATATCAGATTTGGAAAGCTTGGGTTCTTTCCCCTCCCCCAAGCAAACAGAATAAGAAAATTATTTCATTTAAATGATAATTTATACTCTGTAGAATCTGAATATTCAATGAGCTTCGTATACAAAGGATTAGATATGACTCATGGATCATATGGCTGACAACACTGCGGTAGAGAAAGGAAGTATGACACTCAAAAGAAATGTGATACTGATTGTACACAAGTGTGGTCAGAGGCACAAAGCAAAAACACTTTTTTTCCCCTCTATTTTTGTTTACTTGTGTTTAGTAATCATTTCCTTATTTCTGCAAACACTTAAATGGATGGGCTTTGCTCTGCTCAAAAGCTTATGCCTGACTAGGTACCTGTTTATGACATCAGGGTCTTAAAATTTACCTATATTGGCAGCTGCAGCATTTTCTGATGGAAATGTGTTTTCAATTCAGAAATGTGTATTTCATATCACAGTCAAAATAGTGAGTCACTTTTAAGTATTCTCTGAAGTCTGCATTCTTCAAATATGTTCAAGTGGGCCTCGTAAGACGTATTTCAATTTTTTCCTATAAGATTATTACCATTAATTATTTTAACTAGTAATTATTCTTCCAAAAATTCAAGAGCTACTTTTTTTATAAGAGAAAGCATGGGATTGTTTGTAAGATTAAGGCAAGGTTTTGGCCAAGATTCTGACAGAGTGACTTGTAAAGACTTCAGAACATATGCTTTTTGCACCCAAATAGGAGAATGAGTTTATAAATCTGGATTTTCCCAGAATTAGTTTATACTAATCTACTAGCATTCATATAAGTGAATTCTGATGAGAACATGCTGGCCTGTGGCATAATTATATCTTAAACCAATAAAACTGTAACCAACAAATCCAGAAAATCCATTCAAAATTCTAAAGAAAATTATTCATGCAATAAATAATATGCAAAGCTTAGTCTTGGAAGCATTATGAATTTGTACATATTATTTGATTAGAAGGAGTGAACAGTAGCAGGAATATGACAAAAAAATCTTAACTTAGAAGAAAATGAAGTTAGGAGAACAAATTAAACTCTGATTTGATGTAAAGACAATGACGTTACTTACCAGTAACAATAGTTCTTCCAGATGTGTAGTCCACATATTTATTCATACCACAGGTGTGTTTAAGTAGAGAGCAGAGAAATTTTTTCACTTTGACTAATACTGGGGTACACGCAGACCTGCCTTCTCTCTAGCTCAGAGCATGTGAAGTGGAACATCCCAATTCAATTGCTTCTTAGCCTCAAAATCTCAAGAGACTGGTAACATCAGAAGGAAAGAGAACAGGAGGTAAATGTATGTATGTATGTATGTATGTATGTATGTATGTATGTATGTGTGTGTGTAAATCACCTTGAAGAACTTCAATTACTAGTAAATTTATCTCATTGCAAAGATAAAAGGGGACTCTATCTTTGAATATCTATGAAATAGATATTCACATGTGCTATTTATAAAGTGGGGGTATATTTAGAAGGAGGAAGCCTTCAAAATACCTATAGTGAGGAACCTCAGAGTCCTTCATGCAAACAGTATCAGCCCTGGACGCCTCAGAGATGGTAGATACTCGGAAAAGTTATGGAAGAAGCTTCAAGTGGCTGCTCGGAGGTGAGGATTAGGGGCTGAAGACATAAAGGAGGGGGGGGAGGAGGAGGGAAAAAAGGCTGACAGCATCACTGACTGCCCTTGGAGAAACTCCAGGTGATTTCTAAGGGACACCTTACTCAGAAAGAACATTTTGTAAGGGGAAAGCATAGGAACCTGCATTTCTCCCCTTTCAAAGGGAATTGCAACCAGCAAGGATTCCTCCATCGAGGAATGTAACAAGAAGCAAGTTACTAGTTGCATGAAGAAATAGCTCATGGGATTCACGAGAACCCAATTTAGCCTCCATTTTTTGTGACTCTCACCCAGAGTCAGGCAAATCGGTGCAGTTTCGCTTTGGGTATGCAGGTCAAAGCTAGGGCTTTCCTGAGCAGATAGGTTTCATCCTTTCTTCATATTGGATGAAACATATTTTAGTGTAAAATCCATCCTACACTCTTTTTTTGTCTGCATAGCATACCACAACCCTGTCAACTACACAAGACCCTTGCCTGCTCTAACCGCAACACCAAACCACAACACGCTGCTCAAAATAAACCTAACACACATCATTAACCTTTGCATCATACACTACAAACATACCACACCTGCTGTTACTTTGCTTGCTGTAGTTGCTACTGTACCTGTTCCTTGTGCAACAGCTCAAGAAGCCACGACAGCATCTCAGCCTGAGTCTGCCACACTCCAACGGATGGGGCCACATAAGCCATCTCTAGATGTTGCATCCCAACACCTTGCAGAAACTTCTAAGTTTACTTGAAAAGAAGATTTTTTTAAAGTTTTGCAAGGACATTAACCAATAATTCTTGGCTTAGAGAAAGGTTCTGCACCTGGGAGAGTAGAGTTCCCCATGGGACCATGTAATGCTCTGTATCTGGGATAAGCAGTGAAAAGTCGAGACTCCTTGGACACAGGAGATCACATCTGAGATGCGCCTGTCATCCAGCATTAGCATTCTGGGCACCTACATGTACTCCGGACGCATCTGGTGGGCTGCCTGTTTAGCCTCAGCATTTCCATGG